TTTACCCTTCCCCCCACCCCCCCAAATTATTCCACCACCATCAACACACACTCAATGCATCCTAAACAAACAAATAAACAAAATCCCTCTTTCATCCTCCCGCTTACCTTTGATAACCACTAATATTTCTTGGTTACTTTATATTTGCTTATTTCATATAAATGAGATCATACATTATTTGCCATTTTGTAACAGACATTTCACTCAGCACATTTTCTAGCTTTATCCATGGTGGGATGAACATTTGTGTAGAGGCTTTGTTGTTGTTAAGTGCTGTCAGGTTGGTTCCAACTCATAGAAACCCTTATAGGGTTTCCAAGAAGCAATTGCTAAGCTTGAGTCACCGACCTTGTGGTTCAAACCAAACTTGCAGTCCAGCACATTAACCCAAAGTGCTACATCAGAGGTTTTTGTAGGGTTTTTGTATTAATTTCTCAATATGGAGTGACTGAATTCCACAAGAAGTATAAGCTGGAAGGACTCCTGGTGTAGCACTGTAGGATCAGCCCTGGACTGTGAACCACAAGATTGGCAGTTCAAACCTACCAGCTTCTCCTTAGAAACCCTATACGGTGTTGCTATGAGTCAGAACTCACTTAACAACAACAATAACATAAATTGGAATCTCAATTCAGCATGAGATTGTTCCCACTGCTACAAAGTCCTAGGAGAGACTTTTCCTCTGTCTTCTATCCAGGGTACAAACACATGTCTTATAGTTTCCCTTTCCTTAAAGTGATTTTTTTTTTGCTTATTTTTTCATGGAAGGTATAGTCCTGCAAGGGGCTTAGCTTAATAAAGGAGTCTCAGGTCCAACTCCCCACATCATGTGGAGCAATGAATCACTTTCATGTGGCCCTTCTAGTCATGCATGGTCTTGGGATTCCTACAAAATGATTGGGAGGGATTATGCAAATAAGGGAATTGTGGCCCACCTCTGGTAGTATAGTGGTTACTAATCCGGCTGTGAACCTCAGGGTCAGCAGTGTGAAATTACCAGCTGTTGCACGGGAGAAAGATGAGGCTTTCTGCTCCCGTAAAGATTTACAGTCTCAGAAACCCTGTACAGGGTCCCTATGAGTCGGAACAAACTCCACGACACATAACAACAACAACAACAAGGAGATAGCTAATAATGCAAGGTGCATGGAACCCTCGTGTGAGTGGGACCATGCAAATAAGGTGTATGGAACCCTAATGAAGGCATTGATCAGTTTTGCTATTCCACTAGCTTTTCCTTGGAAACCGTATCCAGGGTCGCTATGAGTTGGAACTGACTTGAAGGCACGTAACAACAACAAAGCCTTAAAATGAGCTCATCCAGAAATGGAGCATAGGTCAGGCCAAGAGATCAAGAGGGTGAGGGCCAGAAAGAAGACTGCCTGAGGACACAGAGAAGCTGTCCTGATGGCAGAACCATTATCTTTAGTCTTCCTGTATTGCTGATCCTGAATCGTAACTGGTTACTTCCCTAATAAACCCCCTAATTGTAATGTTGTCTTGCAAGTTCTTTGTGTCCATTACAATGAATTCTCAGACTCAGCAGAGAAGTAGAGAGTGATGTAGGAGAGATGGCTGGTATCAGAACTGCTAAAAAGATTGGGGGGTGAAGTTGTGTTTAACTTGGCCTCATGGGAATAAACCTTGGGGCTGATGTCCTTCTTCATTCTCTCTCCTCCCCCTTGTGAGGTTGATAGAAAACCTCTGAGGCTGCTGTGCCATTATTATAGGACCCAAGACTCATTTCAAATTCCATGAAGTTTTTAGAACCCTGGTCCTTTGGTTGGCAAGATGCCACATTTGCTCTAATACTCTATAGCCAGAGCATTCAGTCACACTTGCCAGTATTATTTTTCTTGTCCTTTCTTTTCTTTCCTCTTCCTTTTTGTTTCTTGTAGTTTCCTGTTTTCTTGTGAGATCAGCCATAGATTCAAAAGGATATTTGTCATATTTTAGGTAGCATTTCCATTTCCTTTGTAGTCTACCATATTGACAAAAATAAAAGTCTCAGAGCTAAATTATCTTTCTTTCTTAATCCAGGCTCTAAGGTTGAAAAAACTGAAAATAACATCTATTTTATAAGGGAGCAGGTGGTATCTATTGGTTAGAGGTCAGGGCTTTGGTGATATTTTGGTTATTAGAAAACTATAGGTTTAGTTCTCTTTGGTTGGAAAGAGCACAGGAACTTTTTTTCCCCAATGGTTTACCTTTTTCCCTAACGTCACAGGGGCCTACCCAGCTTGGTATTAACTCTGCCTTTCAGAGTGTTTTCTCTAAGCAAGGGGTTTTGTTATTCCATCCCTTGGACATGCTTATGCCTCATTTCATATTTACTCCAGAGTTTCACTTCATAGGAGTTCAGGGGTGGAAAAGATCTTAAAAGTCAAGCAGTGTAACCCCTCAATTTATATTTGGACTTAGATGAATGACTGGATCCCTGAAAGATTAAATAGTGATTGAAGGAACAGTGAGGCCAGATGCCAGGAGTTTTAGTTACCTCTAAGGCCCTCCACACTCAACTCAAATCCTCATCATGGCCTGCCTCCCAGTTCCTTAATGTGGTTTTTGAGAAAGTGTCCATGTCTGTGTCACATGGAGTGACTAAGTGCTTGTAGAGTCATGATCACAGTGCCTGATGCATGGTGAAAGTGCCACAGTTCAGGCCCCCTTTCCTTTAGCTTCCTGCATGTGTTAGTTTCCTTGGCTACCATAAAAAATTACAGCAAATTTAGTGACTTAAAATGATGGAAGTCTGAAATCAATGTGTCAGTAGGGTTGAACTGAAAAGAAACCAGAAGTCTGATATCAGTGTGTCAATAAGGCTGAACTTCTTCCAGAAGTTTGCGACTGCATCACTATAATCTCTGCTTTCATTTTTACATCTCCTTTTCTGTCTATGTGTCTAATCTTCTGCCTTGCTCTGTAATGATACTTGTGACTGCATTTAGGGCCTACTCAGATCATCTAGAGTAAGTACTTCCTCTCAAGATTCTTAACATAATCACAGCTTTTGGCATATAAAAAATATTCACAGGTTCTGGGGATTAGGAGGTAAGTACTTTTGTGGGGGTAGGGGGCTTTTTTTCTACCTGCCACATCCTAGACACTAGTTGACTACCTACTTCCAAGGTCCTGCTTTTCTTTCACCCAGGAAGAGTTCATTTCCTATGTCCAAGTGCATCCCTTTACCTTTTATACACTTTACTCTTCCAGGTCTGACTCTGCAAAAGGAGTGCTTTCTTTGTAACTTTAACTTTCTTTGTAATGAAACTTACATTACCTTTTTTTAATGAAATGAAGATATGGCATTGCTATTAGGTACTCAGTTTTTATCAGGCCCTGTAGGACAATGGAGTATCTGGGTGGTGCAAATTGTTAATGTGTGTATCTAGTGACCAAAGCCTGGAGTTTTGACACCATCCAGAAGTACCTGGAAAGAAAGACCTAGTGATCTGCTTGTGAA